GTCCCATGCTGGTGATAGCATGTTACATCGGTGTATCTCTTGGCACAATTAGATCTGTAAAATACACTATGATAGAACAAGATTGCCCAATATAAATCATGTCTAAGGAGTCTCTAATGTGTTATTTTTAACTAAACCAATTGACAAAAATAATCATTTTTTATGAAAAGTTTTTATATTTTTGCTCTGAAAGTATACCAGAGCAATTCTCTCCTCAAAACTTTTTTGCATCAGGAGAAAGCCGGTCAAAAACTGCATCTTTCTGTATATAATTCAACAAAAGATATGTGGAGAGCTTATTTAGTTTTTGAGCTCAAAGAAGATCATTCAGATGGAAAATAGGTCCATATAGGGTGAAAAAATAGTGACTATTGTTTGATTTAAATTTTTCAATTGTAAGATTGTATTAAATTATTGTTGTATATATTGTATATTTGCACATTCACTATTGTTACTGTTGGTATATAATTTAGTTCATTTATAATTATAAATAAATATTTAGTTACATTTTAATCTCAAGGGGACACTTTTTTTGCACTCCATACTACCCATAATTGGAGAAGTGTACACCTCCAACTTTTACGATCGCTACGGATGGATGTGGCTAACAATTACTGAGATATGTAAAATATTAAAAAATTAGTTGTTTAATCTAAATCTACCATTCTGTTGAACAAGAAGGAAAGTTTTGCATCAAATTTTGAGGTGAATATGAAGAGACACTGTTTGACTTTGGTGCCGAGCTTACTAACATCATGGCTAAAGAAATCATGAAAACATCAATATATTTTATTTATTTATGCGTTCTTGTCAACAAAATATGAAATTATTCATGGTTAGTATAACGGCGACGAACCTCGTCAAAATATGGCGACTGTTTAATCTTTCGAAAACATAGTTTCATAACACTACGAATTTATTTTTTAGCCGCATCCAGTTTTCCATTAACATTTGATTCTCCAATGCATATATGAAGCAAACGCATCAATTGTAAATCATTCATTTTCGGAATTATAATTAATATTGCAATTAATCGACCACATCTGAAAGAATCTAGCATTGAATTGATGCCGTTATCGATGTCTGAACTAGTGAGCGAAGCAACATTATATACATTACCTGACTGTCCAATTAAAGGCAGTATTGGAATCAGTTTCCACGAATCAATTACATTCAGGGCATGGGTGTGGGGTGTGGGTGTGGGGTGGTGTGGGTGTTGGTATAAGTGTAGTCATCGGTCAACACCCACACCCAACTAGAGTAAAAAACCGTCAAAAAAGATGTAGCTTAAATTTAGAATTTTGAGCACTTTACGAAAAAAGTGATCCTGCTATAACATAAATTGCAAATTTCGACCATTTCGTTTTTTTATTCGATCAAGGCTTTTTTAATAGAGCATCAAACAATGTTTTGATTACTCATCACTGTTAATTAACTAAATGCAAAAATAATATTGTTTCTTTTTTTTGTAAATGTCGAAAGTCAATAATGAAAGTGATCCAACAATAGTCTTTTTCTTTGTAAATCAGAATTGAAAGTAGTTTTGAAGCAAAGCAAAAAAAAAAACTGCTCCGTAAGTTCGTTTTTATTTGATTACTACTTTTAAAATATGTAAATTGTGATTTTTGATTGACTTGTCAATATGTAATTATTAAATTCTTAAAGTAAATATAAAGATAAATCATCGTTGAAAAATTTACAAAACTATTTGCTTTAGTATTAATGTTACATTAAGAAAAAACATTCTATTATTGAATTCAGTCATTTAAAGTGAAGTTAAGTCAAACTTGAAGATTTTCAAATAGTCTTTCGTTATTAAAATTATTAATTTCGTCATTTCAAGACACATAGAAAAGCATGTATATTTTCAAAATTGTTATTCTATATCTTGTAGCAATACATCATAGTTATGGACAGGCACGTGATGGTAGGGATAAAGATTAAATAGTAAGAGAGTTTTTTTCAAAGAAAATTTTAAAATAATATAGGAGCCGATGCAAGTTCAACAGACGTTGGTATTGGATGTTTTTCTGATGATTCATCGGTTATGTTAACTAATGGTAAACAAAAACAAATCAGTTATCTTCAAACAGGTGATGAAATTCTTGCTGTTGATCATTTGAAAATAATTCCTACTGAAATGGTTTTTATGTTGGATAAACAAAGATCAAAACAAGGTTTTTATCCTATCTTAGTTTTTCTTTTTTTCTTTAATCGGTTTGTTTTAGCTAAATTTTATACATTCATAACTGATTCGGGTCATCAAATAAGTTTAACAGGTCTCCATTTAATTCCGATTATTTCTTCAAATAACAAAATGAATTATATCGCAGCTCGGCAAGTTCAGTTGGATGATCAATTGTATGTTCGTATGAGTGGTCACATGAAATCTTCAGCCGTTAGAAATATAACCATAGAAATAAAAAAAGGATATTTTGCTCCATTAACATTGACAGGTTAGTTTAGATTTTATCGTATTAATTTAGTTAGAAATATTTTTATTATTAAATAAAAGAACTATATTGATAAATGATGTTTTGGCAAGTTGTTATGCCTCAGCAAAAAACCATCAATGGGCACACACTTTTATGGCTTCATTTCGTTGGTATTATAAATTAGCTCGTTTTATTTCTGTCAATGAACCATTTAATAATAATCGAACAGATGGAATACATTGGCTTGTTCAATTTATTTATCA